TGTACATGACGGTCAACATCTCCACTCTTGTGTTGTGCTGTTCGGTGACCCTTTAGAGGACATCAGCGTGCTGTCAGGGCTGTAGTGCTGTGTATTCTGGTGGTGTTGAACATACGTGCTCCTGTACACACTTACACATGTAACACACACACACACTTTCTTTCCACAGTCACGCCGTGTCTTGTTTCAGGCTGAAGTTCACAGAAACACATTCTGAACTCCTGAACTTGACATGTTTGAGCTGTAACAGGAGCTGAGCGACACGGCTCCAGAAACCCGCATGTTTAGGATGAAAGCTGATCCACAACACACGGCGCTCAGCAGCAGAACCTGTTTATAGACCAGGAGACCGCTCACATGTGGGAACAATACACGACACAGCAGCACTGTACAACTGCGCTGACACACACACACACACACACAGGCTGCAGTGTGAGCTACTGAATCATTCACTCGCTGATTTGTGGACAAATATTGATTCATTCAGAAAGTAATGGATCTCCTGTGATCTGCACGCTCTCGCGATCATTCAGTCCTCTGACCCCTTCAGTCAGCTGTGTGGGACTCGTATACTGCGATCTTCAGAGTGCCAGAACATGCGGAAGACAAAACCAAGAGCATCCAGCAGACACCCACTCCATTCTCCAACATNTCAGACGTTCTCCAACATNTCAGACTTTCTCCAGCATTTCAGACGTTCTCCAACATTTCAGACTTTCTCCAGCATTTCAGACGTTCTCCAACATTTCAGATGTTCTCCAACATTTCAGATGTTCTCCAACATTTCAGACGTTCTCCAACATTTCAGACGTTCTCCAACATTTCAGACGTTCTCCAACATTTCAGATGTTCTCCAACAGTTCAGACGTTCTCCAACATTTCAGATGCTCTCCAACAGTTTAGATGTTCTTCAACAATTCAGATGTTCTCCAACAGATCAGATGTTCTCCAACATTTCAGATGCTCTCCAACATTTCAGATGCTCTCCAACATTTCAGACGTTCTCCAACATTTCAGATGTTCTCCAACATTTCAGATGTTCTCCAACATTTCAGATGTTCTCCAACATTTCAGATGCTCTCCAACATTTCAGACGTTCTCCAACATTTCAGACGTTCTCCAACATTTCAGATGTTCTCCAACATTTCAGATGTTCTCCAACATTTCAGATGTTCTCCAACATTTCAGATGCTCTCCAACATTTCAGACGTTCTCCAACATTTCAGACGTTCTCCAACATTTCAGATGTTCTCCAACATTTCAGATGTTCTCCAACATTTCAGATGCTCTCCAACATTTCAGATGCTCTCCGACATTCTCCAACTTTTCAGATGTTCTCCAACATTTCAGATGTTCTCCAACCTTTCAGACGTTCTCCAACATTTCAGATGCTCTCCAACATTTCAGATGTTCTCCAACATGTCAGATGCTCTCCAACATTTCAGATGCTCTCCAACATTTCAGATGTTCTCCAACATTTCAGACGTTCTCCAACATTTCAGATGTTCTCCAACATTTCAGACGTTCTCCAACATTTCAGATGCTCTCCAACATTTCAGACGTTCTCCAACATTTCAGATGTTCTCCAACATTTCAGACGTTCTCCAACATTTCAGACGTTCTCCAACATTTCAGATGCTCTCCAACAGTTTAGATGCTCTCCAACATTTCAGACGTTCTCCAACATTTCAGATGCTCTCCAACATTTCAGATGTTCTCCAACATTTCAGACGTTCTCCAACATTTCAGATGCTCTCCAACATTTCAGACGTTCTCCAACATTTCAGATGTTCTCCAACATTTCAGACGTTCTCCAACATTTCAGATGTTCTCCAACATTTCAGATGTTCTCCAACATTTCAGATGTTCTCCAACATTTCAGATGTTCTCCAACATTTCAGATGCTCTCCAACATTTCAGATGTTCTCCAACATTTCAGATGTTCTCCAACATTTCAGATGTTCTCCAACATTTCAGATGTTCTCCAACATTTCAGATGTTCTCCAACATTTCAGATGTTCTCCAACATTTCAGATGAGATGCTCTCCAACATTTCAGATGTTCTCCAACATTTCAGATGCTCTCCAACATTTCAGATGTTCTCCAACATTTCAGATGTTCTCCAACATTTCAGATGTTCTCCAACAATTCAGATGTTCTCCAACAATTCAGATGTTCTCCAACATTTCAGATGTTCTCCAACATTTCAGATGTTCTCCAACATTTCAGATGCTCTCCAACATTTCAGATGTTCTCCAACATTTCAGATGTTCTCCAACATTTCAGACGTTCTCCAACATTTCAGACGTTCTCCAACATTTCAGATGTTCTCCAACATTTCAGACGTTCTCCAACATTTCAGATGCTCTCCAACATTTCAGACGTTCTCCAACATTTCAGATGTTCTCCAACATTTCAGATGTTCTCCAACATTTCAGATGCTCTCCAACATTTCAGATGCTCTCCAACATTTCAGATGTTCTCCAACATTTCAGATGTTCTCCAACATTTCAGATGTTCTCCAACATTTCAGATGCTCTCCAACATTTCAGACGTTCTCCAACATTTCAGACGTTCTCCAACATTTCAGATGTTCTCCAACATTTCAGATGTTCTCCAACATTTCAGATGTTCTCCAACATTTCAGATGCTCTCCAACATTTCAGACGTTCTCCAACATTTCAGACGTTCTCCAACATTTCAGATGTTCTCCAACATTTCAGATGTTCTCCAACATTTCAGATGCTCTCCAACATTTCAGATGTTCTCCAACATTCAGACGTTCTCCAACATTTCAGATGTTCTCCAACATTTCAGACGTTCTCCAACATTTCAGATGCTCTCCAACATTTCAGACGTTCTCCAACATTTCAGATGTTCTCCAACATTTCAGACGTTCTCCAACATTTCAGACGTTCTCCAACATTTCAGATGCTCTCCAACAGTTTAGATGCTCTCCAACATTTCAGACGTTCTCCAACATTTCAGATGCTCTCCAACATTTCAGATGTTCTCCAACATTTCAGACGTTCTCCAACATTTCAGATGCTCTCCAACATTTCAGACGTTCTCCAACATTTCAGATGTTCTCCAACATTTCAGACGTTCTCCAACATTTCAGATGCTCTCCAACATTTCAGACGTTCTCCAACATTTCAGATGTTCTCCAACATTTCAGATGTTCTCCAACATTTCAGATGCTCTCCAACATTTCAGACGTTCTCCAACATTTCAGATACTCTCCAACATTTCAGATGCTCTCCAACATTTCAGATGTTCTCCAACATTTCAGATGTTCTCCAACATTTCAGACGTTCTCCAACATTTCAGATGTTCTCCAACATTTCAGATGCTCTCCAACATTTCAGATGCTCTCCAACATTTCAGATGTTCTCCAACATTTCAGATGTTCTCCAACATTTCAGACGTTCTCCAACATTTCAGACGTTCTCCAACATTTCAGATGTTCTCCAACATTTCAGACGTTCTCCAACATTTCAGATGCTCTCCAACATTTCAGACGTTCTCCAACATTTCAGATGTTCTCCAACATTTCAGATGTTCTCCAACATTTCAGATGCTCTCCAACATTTCAGATGCTCTCCAACATTTCAGATGTTCTCCAACATTTCAGATGCTCTCCAACATTTCAGATGTTCTCCAACAGTTTTGACGTTCTTCAACATTTCAGATGTTCTCCAACATTTCAGATGCTCTCCAACATTTCAGATGTTCTCCAACATTTCAGATGCTCTCCAACATTTCAGATGTTCTCCAACATTTCAGATGTTCTCCAGCATTTCAGATGTGCTCCAACAGTTCAGATGCTCTCCAACATTTCAGATGTTCTCCAACATTTCAGACATTCTCCAACATTTCAGATGTTCTCCAACATTTCAGATGTTCTCCAACCTTTCAGACGTTCTCCAACATTTCAGATGCTCTCCAACAGTTTAGATGTTCTTCAACATTTCAGATGTTCTCCAACAGATCAGATGTTCTCCAACAGTTTTGACGTTCTCCAACATTTCAGATGTTCTCCAACAGTTTAAATGTTCTCCAACAATTCAGATGTTCTTCAACATTTCAGACGTTCTCCAACAGTTTTGACGTTCTCCAACATTTCAGATGTTCTCCAACAGTTTAAATGTTCTCCAACAATTCAGATGTTCTCCAACATTTCAGATGTTCTCCAACATTTCAGATGTTCTCCAACAGTTTAAATGTTCTCCAACAGTTCAGATGTTCTCCAACAGTTTTGACGTTCTTCAACATTTCAGATGTTCTCCAACAATTCAGATGTTCTCCAACATTTCAGATGTTCTCCAACAGTTTAGATGTTCTCCAACATTTCAGATGCTCTCCAACATTTCAGATGTTCTCCAACATTTCAGATGTTCTCCAACAGTTCAGACGTTCTCCAACATTTCAGATGTTCTCCAACATTTCAGATGCTCTCCAACAGTTCAGACGTTCTCCAACAGTTCAGATGCTCTCTAACAGTTTAGATGTTCTTCAACATTTCAGATGTTCTCAAACATTTCAGATGTTCTCCAATATTTCAGATGTTCTCCAATATTTCAGATGTTCTCCAACATTTCCGACGTTCTCCAGCATTTTACAGTGCTGATGATGATGATAGTGAAGATATAGGTGATGATGATGGTGATGAAGATGACGATGATGATTTTGAAGATCATTATGATGATGGTGCTGAGGATGGTTTTGATGATGGAGAGGATTTTGATGAAGATGACTTTGCGTTAGTTTTATGAAGGTGATGTTGGATATCAGATAATATTGATGATGATGATGAAGATGATTCTGAGGATCAGTTCACTGAGGATGTTTAAATGATGAGGATGATGATGGAGGCTGATAATTGATCAGTGATTATTGATGATTGATTCTCTCTGGTCACTTCAGACTTGTGCGCTCCTCGAGAGTCTCCCGCCAGGCGGGTTTCCCTTTTAAACCGGGCGCTCTGCGGGCTCTCCGGGGCGACAGTCGGGCGTCGAGAGGCGGAATATCCTCCCGCGCGCGCTCGGAGGCGGAGTGACGGACAGACGGACGCGCTTCATCATATAAAAGGGAAGCGGAGCGTCGCGCGTCACCAACTCTTGCGCGGAGCCGCTCGCCGGTACAGCACCGACCATGAACACCGGCAGGGCGCTGAAGAACGCGCTCGTGTGTCTGCTCATTCTCCCGCGGTTTCTGGTCGCCGCCTTCATGCTGTGGTGTCTGGATTTCCTGTGCGTGCGGAAGAGAGTTCTGGTCCACCTGCAGGAGCGCGCGGAGGAGGAAGAGGAGGACGCGGAGGAGGAAGAGGAGCCGCTCTGCATCTCCGACAGCAGCCGCATGTTCAGCTGGGAGTCTCTGAAAGCCGTGTTCCACGGACACAAGCTGGACTACATGAAGAGCGCGCGCCTCGGACACGCGGCGCCCGACAGCGAGGTGTTCCCGCTGGCGGAGCCGCGGCGCGGGCGCGTGCTGGAGTTTGCGCGCGGTCACCGGCCGCTGGTGCTGAGCTTCGGGAGCTGCAGCTGACCGCCGTTCATGAGGCGTCTGAAGGCGTTCCGGAGGCTCGTGCTGCGCTACGCGGACGTGGCGGACGCGCTGCTGATCTACATCGAGGAGGCGCACCCGAGCGACGGCTGGCGGAGCTCCGACGCGCCGCATCAGATCCGCCGCCACCGCAGTCTGGAGGAGCGGCTGAGCGCGGCGCGGCTGATGGAGCGCGAGGCGCCGGGCTGCGCGGTGGTGGCGGACGGCATGGAGAACGCGGCCAACAGCGCGTACGGAGCTTACTTCGACAGACTGTACATCGTGCAGGACGGGAGGGTGGTGTACCAGGGCGGCCGCGGACCCGAGGGATTCCGCATCTCCGAGCTCCGACACTGGCTGGACCGGTACCGCGAGCGGCTGCGCGACGCCGTCATCCCGGTGTAAAAGTGGAGCAGGACTGGCTGCCTCTCCACCTGTCTGCGCGTGTGTGCGTGTTGTTCGCACCTGTATTCTCCGTGAAGGTCGGTCTTTAAAGCGGTGACTCCAGCAGACCGACTCTGATGTCTGAATACGGGACGCTCGTGCACATCTCTCCTTTATATCACTACATTTTATAATAAAAGCCCTTTGATCAGACCTGAGGCTCGCGCGCTCATTAACGCATCTGACACACACACACACACACACACTCTCAATATCCCTCTGATAGTGCTGCTGAACGCGTTATTGATTGGTGCATCACAGATAATCACTCATATCGATCAACCTGGCGAACACATTCACCGAAATTAAGACAGTCAGAGGATCCTGAAGTCCCCATAACACATGTTTCATGTTTGGCTCATACATGCTGGGCTGTTTTAATGACCTTTAACCCAGCTGTCGGGTCAGTCATGTTGCAGGAGTGAGCTCAAGCAGCTGATCAGAGTGCAGTTGAGCTGTAGTGAGCTGATCCTCTGTGTTTGAGTTCTGCACGCCATCACTCAGATCAGACCTCTCAGCTGAGTTTGGGCTGAATTCTGGCCCCAGCAGATCAGTCATGTTCAGATGAAGTGTGAAGGACATAACACACCCCAGCCTCTGTGTTTGTCTGTGTTTTACCCGCTGTGTGCTGCAGTACGCCAGCATGTTCAGAGTGTGTGACGGAGGCTGATGCAGGATCAGTGTGGGAATGTGTTTGTCAGCTCATCAGTGTGTGTGAGCAGTGTGTGTGAGCGGTGTGTGTGAGCGGTGTGTGTGAGCAGTGTGTGTGAGCGGTGTGTGTGAGCGGTGTGTGTGAGCAGATCCTCACTGCAGCTGAACTCTGACTGCTGATGACGGATCCACACACTCTTCATATTGTCAGCTCCTCTCACTCTCTAACACATGCAGAGCTCACAGAGATGGACACACACACACACACACACACACAGAAACACACATCAGATAATCTAAACACGTCAAGAACATGCTGGAGTGTTTGATTTGGCCTTTCACACTTTTGTTTGCTTCTATGGTTTGCGTACAGTGTGTGTGAGTGTGTGTGTGTGTGTGTGTGTGTGTGTGTGTGTGTGAGATGTCATGTGTGATAATTTATAGGCTTAAATGACATGAAAGATGAGACACTCTCACATATGAACTCACACACACACACACACACACATCCACGCGCTATACACAGAAAACATTTTTATTCCAGGAATGATATAGCAGGCAGTGTGTGTGTGTGTGTGTGTGTGTGTGTGTGTGTGTGTGTGTGTGTGTGTGTGTGTGTGTGTGTGTGTGTGTGTGTGTGTGAGAGAGAGAGTTTCAGAGCTGCTCTGAGAAAAGCAGCAGTGATGGAGCATAATCATGAATATTGTGTGTGTGTGTGTGTGTGTGTGTGTGTGTGTGTGTGTGTGTGTGTTTGTTTGCGGAGTGCAGGATGGTCTGATCAACTCATATGACCCACTCTGTCCTCTGTGTGTGTGTGTGTGTGTGTGTGTGTGTGTGTGTGTGTGTGTGTGTGTGTGTGTGTGGAGGACAGCAGAAGCGCTCTCCTGTTGCCTGGTTACTGTTTTCTGTGCTAAACTACACAGATTTACACTTGCCTTGTTTTTTAATTGGACGACCATTATCAGACTGACAGAAACCATCTGTGTGTG